CGTGCCCTCGGACAGCGCCCCCTCCGACGGCCGCGCGCCCGCGTGATCGCAGACCTAGGCGCTTCCCGCGCGTGCCCCCGAGGTGCCCCGCGCGCTCGCGGACCTCTCCGGCCAGATCCGGGAGCCCCCGCTCCTCGTGTCCCCCCTCCTGAGACCGCTGCCCGGATCAGGGCGTACCTGTCCCTTATGGGTGCGGGTGGGACGGTTGCCAAAGTTGCTGCGAGCAAGAACAGAATGGCAGTCCTGGGCATTTGAGCATGCCCGGCGCCCGCAGCCAAGCAAGGGTTTGCAAAATGTGTGGGCTTGTGTGAAGGGCCGTGGGAAACAGAGCGAAATGAGCATGGGACCCTGGGGAACCCGAGGTGGGGACGGTGAGGAATCAGAGGGAATCGTGGAGGGAGTCTTGGGGCTACCTATGTCCACTTCCTCCCTGCCAAGTCTTTCTTTTCCTCTAGCTTTCCCTTGGATCTGTGCTCGCCTTCCTTTTCATAAGGGAACGCATTTTGAAGGATTTCTTCCTAACCGGAGAAAACGTTTGACAAAGAATCAAAGGATGTGTTTTTAAAATGACAAGAGCAATAGAAAGCACAAACAAGTCTCTGTGGTACATGTAATTTCCTAGCGGAGTGTGTAGCCATGTTTATGACCGTGTGGGGACTCCTGTGCCCGTGGGCATGTCTTTCGTTTTTGCAGGCCTTAGCTTCCTTGCTGGTAAATGAGCAGGTGATACACTATAGTCCATCCTTCCAGGTCCAGGCCTAGGCCTAGGAGGTTTTTCGCCCAGCATAAGGGGAGGAGCATAGGTTTCAGCTCTGGGCTCTCCCTGTCAGTTGCACTGATTACAGAAAAAAATGTTGACTAATCAGAACATAAAGCCACTAACAAAGAAAATGCCTTCCTTGATGAGGTAAAAATTAGGAAATTGCTCTTTGGGTCCCATTTGAAAATCATATTTTCTAAAACTCACTTGGAAAACTGGTCTTGAGTTTGAAGGCATGTCTGAGCTGACACGGACGGGCACATAGCTATAGGCTGGACCCCTCAGAACAGGCAGAACTTGTGGGTTCCCATTTTGTTAGAGGGTCAGACCTGCTGGGCACAAGACAGGCAATCCTAAGAAACGCCTCAACGTTTCCTAGGATTTTTCAAAATAGAACAACAAAAACCGCACACTTTTTTTTGGCGTGGTGACTCCTTCTGCCCCCTCTATATTTCCTGGCATGCTAACTGTTCATCAGGGATTCCAGAATTAATGAAATCAACGTTCAACCCCGTGTGAGTTAGCCTTTTGCAGCTGTCCTTCCTGTCAGCTCGGAGCCCAGCTGAAGTGCAGGGCCGGCAGTTCAACCACAGGGGAACCAGGAAGACCTGCACGCCGCCAGCGAGAACAAGTGCAGACCTTGCGTTGCGTGAAGTGAAGTCGTAAGGAATTGCATGGGTTACCCCTTCTCTTTGAAAAGCTTGTCGAGGAGGCAAGGAAACGAAATAAATGGATGGAAGTGAAGCCAAACCTCTCAGAGAACCTGAAATACTGGAGTGGGCGAATGGGAAGAACTTTTGAGGGAGTGAGAACAGGCTGCCAGCGCGGACTTGAAGGATCATGTGCTGGAACAGGCCGCCATAGCGACATAGGTGATGAGATGATTTCAGCAACAGGGATGTACTTCGCACATTTCTCAGGTCGAGGGAGACTAAGATCCAGGGGCCAGTTGATCCAGTGAGGAGTCTCTTCCCGGCTTGTGCTTGAACACTTTACTAAGGAGAGGAAAGAGAACCGGGAGTGAGAGGGCGCCAGATTTCTTTCTGCTTTCTCTTCTTTTACCGTCATTGGTGCGCACTTTCAGGAATTCCTCTATATCCACTTACTTCCCAAGGTTCTGCCTCCCAGTGCCACCACACCGGGTGTTAGGGCTTCAAGCTAAGAGCTTTGAGGAGACATAAACATTCAGGCCAGAATAGGGAATATTTTGTTTCATATGAATATCTAGGCAAAGTATGCATAAAAGGTGACAATTATTTTATGATTGAAATGAAGTTTGCTATGATGAATGAGAGGGTATGGGGCAAAATTAAGAGAGCTGTAAATATTAAGATGAAGAGGTGGACCTGATACAATGAGTGCTGTATCTCTACATTCCTCTGAGCGCGGTAATAGATGTATAAAAGGAAAAAATGCTCCTTACATCATATGCAAAACAAAGGAGTTACCAGCAATTAATGCAGATATGTGATGGTAACCCTCACTCAGACTAATAATTTATGTAATCATGATATTGTAAAACATGATTCAACAACCTTGTCAAGGAGGTGGAACAGGTATTATTAAATCATGTAATTCATAGAGAGTGAAAGAGTAAAATTGGAATTACAGAGGTTAAAGTTGTTTCTGAACACTTGTTTTTCTTTGGAAGAGTATGGTTGTTTTTAACAGCGATGCTAAGACATAAATCACATTCCATAACATTTGAAGCATACAGTTCAGTGGCTTTTAGTGTAGACACAGAGTTCTACAACCATGACCTACTATTTGTAAAACGCCTGTAACACCCCCAAAGAAGCCCCACATCCTTTAGCTACTGTCCCCAATCCATTCTATCCCCTCAGCCCTGGAAATAACTAATCTCATTCTCTTCCTTCTGTTGCCCGTTCTACACATTTACATAAACAAAAGGAACCATATAATGTTCAGCCTTTTATAACTGACTCCCTTCGTTTACCACTATCATTATCATTGGTTTCCTATGTTACTTCTTCCTATTGCTGAGTGACACTGAGCATCATATGCTAAGAGAGAGAGACACATATGTCAAGAGAAAAACTGGAACAGATTTAGCTAAGAGCATTGGTTTTAAAATAACTAAACTGTGTCATATTATTATCACATACATTATCCTTGGAGAAAATTGTGGGATATTTAATGTATAAATGAGAAGACACATGTGACTTGATACTTCAAAATGAATGAGGATAGGTCATAAATTAGAGGCAATGTGACTTCAACAGGGTAGATGTACAAGTACTGAAAGAATACAACAGCAGACAGAGCTACCTTGGTGTGAGGGAAAGCGGTCCACAATTCCTACAAAAGGCAATCTCAGACGCTCATTCATCATCATCTAAGTCTTAGACCCTAAGATGTAAACATTTAGATTGAGCAGTCTAGAACTTTATGAACTTAGAAGATTTTGTATTTTTCAGACATCAAGTGGGACAAAAATGAGATTACAATACCCCAGAAACAATTTCTGGCACTAACGCTTTCTCTACTACTCATAACACTTTCAGAAAAAAAATAAGCGAAAGTTGCTTGAAGTGCTGATTTGAATGGATTAGTGTGTGAAGGAGGAACACATAGAAGATGGAGTCAAGATACATGTGGGGATGGGGAGTGAACCAGGAGAGAGAGGTCTGAAGGATGGTGTTTGCCACTGGCCACAGTGTTAACAGAGGCTGCCAGTGAGCCCTGCCCCTTTGGTTGCATTGATTGAGCCTTCTGCTTAATAAATCAGAGGAGTTTGGTTTGGAGACTGGCTAGGAATATTAGGAGTAGTTAGGGGAGCCTCACATCTGCTTCCAGGTAGAGATTTACAGGTTGCAAACTGAAACTATTTTCATTAGAGATCATGTGAGTTTCTAAGCAAAGACTGAGGAAAACCTTACTGAGTTGATACAGAGGATGTGCTGGTTAGAACTAATGGTCAGCTTGACAAAAACCTAGATCAGTGATTCTCAACCTGTGGGTCACGACCTCCCCCTCTTTGGGGTCGAATATCAGATATCCTGCACATCAGATATTTACATTATGATTCATAACAGCAGGGAAATTACAGTTATGAGGTAGCAGCAGGATAACTTATGGTTGGGGGTCACCACAACATGAAGAACTGTATTAAAGATCACAGCATTTGGAAGGTTGAGAATCATTGGTCTAGACTCACCTACAAGAAGAACCTTTGGACATGTTTGTGGGGGTTTAGTTAGATTACATCAACTGAGGTGGGAAGACCTGCCCACTGTAGGTGGTACTATTCATGGCACTCTTTCATTATAAGAGTTACAACACCAGGGTAATGAAACCAGACGGGGGCTTTTTCTCCACTACCACTTAGCCGCCCAAGCTTGGAGGCATTGACAGCATCTACAGGCAGCACTTTAGTTATGGGTAGGTGCATTTTCATGATGGACCTTTTTCCATGGCAATATTTAGTGTCTCTCAAGAAGCTTCACAGACAGTGGCCACAGCCAATGAGGTTCATAAAAGGAGGTCATGGAGTCTATGAGAGTATCATCAACCATCAGACTAATTTGTAAGTGCATAGGAATGTTGAAGACATCCTGAAGGACTCAGAAATATTGGGACAATTTAAATTTCCCCAGGTTAAAATTTATTTGGGAGATATAATTTCCTGCTGAAGCTAGTAATTTTTGAGGTCTGTGTTGGTGAAGCCCAGAAGGTGTAGGTGAAGGAGGGACAGGTTTCGGGAAAAAAAAATAAAGGAAACATAATGTGTCATTTTTTAAATGTCACCTGGGAAATATATAAAGAAAAAACACTCTCAAATGTGGGCTGGAGGATTAGGCTCTAGGCCAGTAACCAGGTATTCATGGGGCAGTTCAGCATTCTGTCTTCAGCTACATACATGTCTTTAAAAGTTTTAGGCTCTTCTAATTGCAATATCCTTGTTTGTAAACATGAATGTGGTGAGTTAGATCCATGAATGTAGTGAGGTTCCAATTATTGTGGACTTTCATGAACTGTTATTTCACTAG